CACTGGGGCTGGACTGTGAAGCAGGAGGAGCAACATGGCCTCATAGGAAGCCCCACAGCATCTTTTCCCCTGTGCAGTTACTGAATGGTCACAAACCCACTCAGAATCATGGGGATCTTTGCCTGAGGGCACACTGTCAGGGAACCTGTGGCAATCTTTAACAAAAATGGCCACAAAGGTAACACATGCTCGTACGGGTGCACCGCTAGGTGGAAGCGCTGACGCTGACACCAGTGCAGCTGGCTGTTAACAGCACGTGATTTAAGTGCACAGTGCGGCTGCACTAAGTGTTCTGCGGGTGTTTTTAGCTCCAGCCATTGCAATTTCCGTCACGTTAGGTGGCCATGAAAGCATGAGATGTTCAGGATCTTCCGGGTCACAGAGGCAGAGCCTGAGACAGTCCTCACGTGGGCATGATTATCAGGGCAGATGGCAAGAAAGCGCAGAGGGCGGAGCAGGAAGGGCAAGAAGCCAAGGAAGCCTGGAGGAAGCCCAACCTGGGTGCCCCAGAGCACGGGCCCTGCACCCACCTTCCCCATCCTGGGCTCTGAGATCAAGGCCCGGAACTCGGGGTTGTTCTGGGCGTATGAGCGGAGGTGAGCAGAGATGTGATCCAACTGTTTCCGCCAGTAGCCTAAAAGAGAAGAGAACTAGACATATAGACAATTCTTCTGAGTCTGAGAAATGATGTGTTGCAGGGGGACACACAGGGAGACCGTTTTCCTTTGCCAAACCTTGCGACCTTTTTGCCTTACTGAATCACAACTATGTACCAGCATTCGCTCTATCCTCCCCTCTCGAATTTCTTCTTTTTTTTTTTAAAAAAAAAATGTATTTAGTACAGGGTCTACAGGGTCTCACTACATAGCTTGGACTCCTAGTGATCCTCCTGTTTCCAGCCTCCCAAGCGCTGGGATTATAGGTCCATGCCACCACCCTATCTCAGTGGCCTTCTTAGCATGCCCCAGGGGTGGAGCCAGCACAGCTGCTGGGGATTGAACCCTGGTCCTGGCAACCAATTTCTTATTTCACGTGATGAGCGGCAGAATACTGAGGATCTAAAAGAACGTACTTTGATCACCACACATGAAACCCTTCTTTTTCTATTAATTCTCTCTCACATGTAACTTCCATAGTTTTTAAATATATACTTCAGGGAGGCTGGTGAGATGGCTCAGTGGTCTAAAGCACCTACTTAGAACAAGCTTAGCAAAGCACAGGGACTGTGGTTCGATCCCCCAGCACCACATGCCACCCAGCCCCGCCCCCTGGTGGG